AGTCTGAGGGAAATGTCTTTGTTCAGCTTTGAATGACCTACTTTTTGGGTATCTGGGAATAACCAGAAGACTACCCAAACCACAAGAGTGCATCTAATTTTAGCAGCCCTTCATTTTGTGCATGCGAGCTTTTGTCTTCTGCAGCTCCAGGAAAAAACATTGATTTCTCGCTGAGCCAAAGACAAATTTTAGTGCTTTTAAATCAGCCCCTTGTTGAGTCACGATCACAGGGAAATCATCCCTCTTGAAATTATTGAGTCTATAATTGTCATCTCAATTTTGCATCAAAAACTAATACTGAGCCCCTTCCAAAGGATCTGTGCTTGCTGGTCTCTGAAGAAAAAGTCTAAACATCTCATGCTGGAGATAATCTGGGCAGCTGTGTTTTGTGTGTTTCCATTTCCCCCTTTGTTTTTAATTGACTGATAGCAAAAGGGTCGACTTCTTCATAGGAAGTTTCTGTGAGTCTTCTAGCTCAGTTATAAGGGCAATCCAGGAAAGGTTAAGGACAAAAAAAGAATTACTAGTGTGTCAGCAGGGAGTGTGAGGACACCACTGATGGTGTCTGTTGATGGTAGACGAAAGATCTCTGAGGTAGTTTGGACAGAAGAAGCATTAAACAAGTATTTGACCATTAGGGAGTATTTGATCATTTGACCATTAGGGAGGTGATTATGCCCCTGTACTCGGCACTGGTGAGGCCACACCTCGAGTATTGCGTCCAGTTTTGGGCACCTCAATACAAGAGAGATATCGAGGTGCTGGAGCGAGAGTAGAGGAGGGCAACGAAACAAGTGAAGGGCATAGAAGACAAATCATACGAAGAGCGGCTGAAGGAGCTGGGGCTGTTTGGGATGAGGAAGAGGAGGCTGAGGGGAGACCTCATCACTCTCTACAACTACTTGAAAGGACACTGTAGAGAGGCTGGGGCTGGTCTCTTCTCACAGGTAATTAACAATAGAACGAGAGGGAACGGCTTCAATGGCTTTTCACTGTGAGGGTGGTGGAGCACTGGAACAGGCTGCCCAGGGAGGGGGGTGAGTCACCATCCCTGGCTGTGTTTAAGGGCCGTTTAGATGCGGTACTGAGGGATATGGTGTAGGGGAGGACTTTGTAGAGTAGGGTAGATGGTTGGACTCGATGATCCCAAGGGTCTCTTCCAACCTCAATGATTCTATGATTCTATTAGGGATATTAGTGATGTGCAAGACTGGAAGGAAGCAAGTCCAGACTTGTTGTGAAGTACAGGCTACCCCAGCTTCCAAAACCTAAATTAGACATTGAACACCATCTCTCTTGCTAGGAGGGACAATATATAATGTCCCTCATAAAATGTCAGAGTCTACTGAAGTGTTAGACTAAAATGTGTCTAAATATCACCCAAACTGTACAGAAAAAGTATAAGCAGAACTAACACAGAGGAGGAAAGGCTGAGAGACCTGGGTCTTCTTAGCCTGGAGAAGACTGAGAAGGGATCTCATCAATGTATGTATAATGCTTAAGGTGTCAGGAGGATGAGGTTAGGCTCTTCTCAGTGGTGCCTGGTGACAGGACAAGGGGCAGTGATCACAAGCTGGAACACAGGAAATTCCATGTGAACGTGGGGAAAAACTTCTTTAATTTAAGGGTAACGGAGCACTGGAACAGGCTGCCCAGAAAGGTTGTGGAGTCTTCTTCTCTGGAGACACTCAAAACCTGTCTGGATAGGTTCCTGTCCAGCCTGATCTAGCTGTACCTGCTTTGGCAGGGGGGTTGGACGAGGTCATCTCTGAAGGTCCCTTCCCACTCCTGCAATTCTGTGATTCTGTGATGGCAGGCATTGAGCATTTTGGACACTTATTATGGAACTTCACAAAACAGAAATCAAAGCCAGCAAAATGCAATGATATAAAGACAGTAGCAAACCAAAACTGTAACTAAGAAGTAGCTCCAGTTGTCCTGGTTTTTGATATGTAAGTGAAGATTTTAATCATTCTTTTCCTAAACTATGAGGACATCCTAGTGTCCTGGAGCCAGAGAACTTCCCAGCTGATGGGATCAACCATAAAAGCAAATCAGTCTGTCTGTGCCTGCTGCCTCCTTCTCTTAGAAGGACAAAGAGAGCGACAACCACTCTAAAAGTCAACCTGTTTAACAACCGAGCCCTTTGCCATGCTATGACAGGAGCACCCTGACCCAGGGTCACGTTTAGGAACGTGGGCAGGATCCCGCTGTGGCCTGTCCATCCCACCACCACTGGCCACCTCCATCTGCAGAGGAACACAGAGCCTACCTGCTTGGAGGGCTCCTGACCCCCTCAGCTGGAAGCTTTCCATCCCCTTCCTAAGGCATGCATAATGTAAGCGTAAGTGGGTTTTAACTCTTTTTAAAGTTTTAGCTCTTTCAAAAGCACATCTTGCTTTTGGGTGTTTGTTATTGCAATAGCTGTAGAGTCTATCTATGTAGGTGCCTGGTGGTCTGTTATGGGATAGCAATGATTGTCACAAGGTGATTGCACACTCTCTAAAAACGCATCCTCATCTTTTAGGTATCTTGCTTTTTAGTGTCATTTAACATACTGTTGACAATGTATTTGTGATCCGTGTTTGACGAGGCACAGGCAGAGAGTCTTCTGCCACTGGGCTGTGACGCACTTTGTCAACGGTTGGTGAAGCTGTTTGTCTCATCTCTGAATTTCCCAGGTTTCAAAGGACAACTTAGTTTGGCCGTAAAGGCATACAGTTAGGAAAGGTGTTTAAGCAAATATTTTTCTCAGTCTCAAGCTGTAGTTTGAGAAGCCTACGCTTTGATTCAGTGTTGGATTTGGACAGGTGTTGGTCTGATGATCTGCTGAGGACAAGCAGTGACAGAGAGTGAGGATGCAACAACTCTAATCCCCAGTTCTCCAGTCGGAGTTGCGTGCGGGGCGGCTGCTGTGTTTCCTGGGAGAAGGAACCTTTGTCTTGACACAGAAAGCGAGACAGCGCTTGTACCTGAGCCTCCGAGCCCTTCCTGCTCCGTCTGCTGCCTATTTGGTACCACTCATTCAGCAATGTATCTTGCACACCATCTTAATTTCAGGCTGTTTTTTTCAACGTGGCAAATGAAAGGAAAAATAACTTGAAACAAATATTTCCTGTTCTGTGGTATTCAACAATGAAATTGTAAACCACAGAAGGGACCGGGCTTGATCTGAAGGTCTTTGAAGTCAGCAGAGCTATTCCCACTGATTTCAATGCGCTTTGGGTCAAGGCCACAGGAGGAAGAAAGCAAATGTTTTCTGCCCAAAAAAGTATTAACCGTTGGCATTCAAAGAACAATAAAGTCTGGTGCGTAAAATGTCTTTCTTTAAATAAGGCAGACAGAAACTTTATTTAATTTCCAGCTGCTTCCTAATAATTTGCCACTAATACACTAAAAAGGAATAACACGTCTACAGAAGTCATAATCATATGCTGAGGAGGAAAAAACACTTAAGACTGTCATTTGCTTCTTATGTGCTTCTATTCCACTTTGTGTCTATCGTATTTCTCACTGATGCAACGGTGCTTATGCTGCTGGTTATTTTATCACAAACTAAGCACTGTGGATTTCCAATTGAAATAAACTCCACCGCGCTGAAGGCAGTTGACAAATATATCAAAATTATTGTTTTTCTGTACATTTTAATCTGTAAAAGTCACAATGTGGGTTTTTTTTGTGACTGAGAAGAAATGGGTCAGAGATACAGAATTTGGGAGGCAAAGAAGTGTTGTTCTGGGAGTAATGTAGGGGTTGTCACTCCTACCACAAGGTTAGTCAAATAGGCTCACACAGTTATTAAATCCAAGAAAAGGAATCTATCTGCCAGCTGCCCAAGGATGCTGTCCTTCTGAATCAGCAGACCCATCAGCATGTCAACACGCGACAAGAAGCCCACTGGGGTCTGTATGAGTTGGACTTTTTGGCACGCAACAGCAAAGCCTGAGGAGCTGAGTCTGCCTGTACAACAAGCCAACACCATCAAGCTGTGGCCAGCCAGAGAGCAGATCCCAGGTCAGTGAGCTGCAGGACAAGAGAGGACTGTGTGGCCACAGCCAGGCTGCGTTACCTGCGTGTGAAACCAGTGAATCAGCATCAGCTGGAAGATACAGCAAGAGAGGAGGGGAACTGGATTAGAGATGATGCAGAAAATTCAAGGAGATGGATTAATGCCATTTTGCAACTGCTTTTAGTTGTGGCAGTGACCAGCCGTGGTGTGTGTTGCAGGTGAGAAGAATTTTTCAATGAGGGCTTCCCATTTCAGGATACTTCCGTGAAATAAACTTCCTCATTTTTCAACACCAGCCCTGGAAATGTCCTCCCACTGTAGGAGCCAGTGCATGGTTTGGAGATGAGCGTAGTTTATTTGAGGTTTCAAAGAGGAGAAACCAGAACGGAGTTCAGAACTCTCTTGCTGTTTGTAAGAACCATTATTTACATTCACAGGAAAACCACAAAGCAAGGAAAACATAACATAATAAAAAAAATGTGTTGGGATTTTTTCTTTAAACAGCATCTGAGATAGCAAGCATGATACAATTTGTACTGAAGTATGGGTATTGCCAACCACAGTCCAACGAGAGACCAGTTCAGCTTGAGTTTACTCTTTGGAAAACCTCCTCCTTCTCCCCTCCATTTCTTCCCACTGCAGAGCTGTGCTAATCTGGGTTGCATAAATACAGGAGGAAAACTCTAACAGAAGAAAAGGTTGTGAAATCACTTCATTCTCTTTCTGGTGAGAATTCTGTGTCCTTCAGCTTGTCGGGCTGGGACATGGTGGTCGTCTCAGGCTGGAATATCATATAATCACAAAGGCAGGGTATCTTACAGAAAAATGAATTTTCCATGGAAGTTATCTATATACTTCAGTAAGTGCTTTAGAGCAATTAGAATAAATGGCATATGGTACAGCTTTAATATTTTTATAATATGTTAATGATTAACTGACTTCCTACATCTTTGTTGACTTAGTGGGAGAGTGACAAGGAACTGTGAGGTACCTATTTGGTAGCGTAACAAGTCGGGACAATTTGCACGGGCATTTTTTTCCACCTCCCTTCTGGAACTTGCTTCATCCAGCTGACACTGCTTCAAAGCCTTAGGCAGCTCTCAGACTCACAGAAGTAAGTCTCTTTCTGTTTTTTTTATGCGACTTATTTTATGAAGTGCTGATAGAGAACAGATGGAGAGAGATTTAAATATTTATTTGTTTCCTATAAAGAATGTTTTCCCAACTGGGAATTGAAGCATTAAGTTTTCAAGCATTAAATCATAGGGATATTGCTAAGAAGAGACCTTCTTAATTACTATGCTCTTGGGGTTTTTTTTTTAAACTCACTTTCTGCTGCAAGACTTAGATTGAACAAAGGATTTGGTTAGTGAGCCACGTCCAGTACAGACCAATACAGCTGCATCTAGGTATAAAACTTTACAAAAGCAGGATTTGAATGTTAATTTCAAAATGCATGCGGTGCCTGGCAATATCTAAAGCAAAAAAAATTTGCTTAAAACATGAAATAAATGGAAATAAATGAATTCCCGCTTACTCAGCCTTGGAAAAATAACTGCATGTTTTATATAGGAAGAGTTTCTCATGAGCTTTGTCTTCGAGGCAGTTACAAGTTGCAGTGGAATTTCAACAGGCAGATGGGCTGCAGACAGGGAGGCTCTTCTATTGCTTACAATTTTTAGTGTATTTTATTTTAGCTGTGCTATCACAAAGAAACAAGTATTGGCTCCTATCTTTTTGGAAAGCTCTTCTTGCAACCACTCACCCAATGTCTACGGAGAAAACCTTGTTGTCGGGTTGCTGTGTGCAGGTCGTGTGCTTTCCCATTCCCCTTCCCGTAGGCAGTTCCTCACATGCTGCTGGCACAGGCAACACTCACTCCTCTGGACCAGGTGCCCGTGCAGCTGAAGCTCTGGGTGCTTCAGGCATTTTTTGTGTCTCCTGCAGGCACCAGGCAGCATTAGCTCCCGTTCTTTTGGCTGGAAGGTGAATTCTCCTGGGTGACATCTTCCCATGCCCCAAACCTGTATTCAGTGCCCTCATCTTCCCAGGCATGTGTGAGCTCTCTGGGACCTGGATGTGGTTGCCTTAGTCACACTCCTGTCCCCTTAGAGCTCTTTTCTCTGTGCCGGACACTCAGAGTAGGCAAGCTTTTGGGTTTCCCTCTGCTTTCTGAAGCTTCCTGAGAGGATCCCATCTCAAGACAGCCAGTGTATCTGCCTTGGTTTTTCAGGGGCTGTCATTCCTGGCATGTCCCTAAACTGTTCTACTGAGGCTAGAGCTGGAGCTCCCTTCAAGGCAGAGGCAAAACAACCTGTAGAAACTAAGCTAATATGGGGTCACCTGGGTCCTAGGTCAAGACTACTGCCGTCTCACTGCCTACAAGCCTGCAACATTTCCTTATTTAACAGGAGTTTAAGCTGGGCTCAACCACAGAGAAGTAAATTAGGGCCTGAAAAAACAGTGAGGACTATATAGAAATTACTATTATAGAAGTTTCTCTTCATCCTACCATCAAAGCAAATCAACCAAAATCTTTTCCTGAAACAGATGAAGAGCTTTTACACAGCTAAATTTTGATGTATTCTTACTTGGTGGAACAGAAGTGAAGATTGCTTTGGTTTGCTTGTTTTGAAAACCAATAAGAAAGGGGAAGCAGCAGAGTTCATAACACTGGATATTGGCATTTGGGAGGAAGGAGGTACCTAAGTTGTGTTAAACCTAGAGACACTCTATAATCACTTCTAAGACTCTATACCCTATTAGTTTGTCTTTTCTAATTGAAAACGAGTATGTTAGTGACAGTTGAAACCTGAACATGAGACTTCAAGACTTCATGAATGTCAGGGAGACTGTATTCAAGGAAGGGGTCGTAAATGCTGATAACTTTGTATCTAGGAAAACAGGAGCAAAAGAATTGCACGCTGAGCGTTTGTTTAAATGTCTTCTGAAGAAGCTAGGAACAGACTGACTTAGCAGCCACTGCTGGCAACTCTTGTGGTGGGGACCACAGCAAGAAAATAACCTTAGAGATAAAGCCACACTTCAACCAGAGCTGTGCTGAAACTGTGATGACAGAAGGATAAAAAACATTTCTGAAGTTCTCTTCTGGACACATCTGAACTCAAGGGTCTAAAGCATTAGTACAGTCTTTGAGTATCGTGTCAAGGATCACGCAATTTGTGGAAGACTTTCACAAATTCACATGACAAGCCCCAGCTCCATCTCACACTTCCCTGCACCCTCCTTCTGTGTCTGAGATCTTATGTGGCAGGTGTTGATGACTGGCCTATCATCCAGCTCTGCCTGGTGCTTCAGGTCCCAGAAGGGGAGAGATACAGCGGATGGGATGCTGCTGCTTGGGGAATATATTATCTAGCACGTACCAGCCTCTAAAGAACCTCTACAAAATGGCAAACTCCTTCCATACAAACTAGCTGAAAGCTAGTGCCATCTGGCCCTCAACCCATCATACCAAACAATGCATTTAAAGACACGTCTTTGCAGGTGACTGCATGGTTGGGGGCACCCAACCCTACAACCCTCTCTTATGCCACCCTACAACTTGGACATCGCCCTCTGGCACAGGCCCTCACCCCATTAGGGAGTCTCAGACCCAGTAACCTGAAAGGCCCAATTATATTTAAAAGCACTAATTAAGAAAGTATGCTAGCTTTTTTTCCCCACATTTACCTGGAGATTTTTTCAAATCTTTGTTTCAGGAGCTTAAGGCAGGTTGAGTCTCAAAGAGCGGATCTGAAACCCAGCTGATGCACACAGACTGCTGAATGTAACTAAAACAGCTTTTCAGAGGACCCAGTATTAATTCCAGAAGTGGAATGCACTTGATGCTATTTAAGTTTTTCTACTCTGAGAACTGATACCATAGCCCCAGTCTTTTGTCACTAGCAATTACTGGAAGTAAAAGGAGCGTTGACAAAGCAGAGCTCCATTTGTGTTTGCTCCTGCTGCTGAGAACATCAGTAGGTAGAACCTTTACCTCTTCGACTGCAGCATTTCATTTTATTCTTTTTAAAGGTGAGCGTGATGCACAGATGACCCCCAAAAGACTCTGTGCAACCACCTGGCAGTTGAGGGAGCAGCTTGCTTCCGTTTTTTATCCTAGAAGCAAGCTTGCAGCTGTAGGAAAGTCAACACAGCTCCTGGGCATCCTCATCTGTTTCTTGTAACTAAGAGGGGGAAAGTCCTGTCTCATTCTGTCCCTGAAGTATATGGGCAACGGCTCAACACATTTTTCATAAACAACTGCTCACTGTGCAACGCTTGATTTAAGTAAAAATAAGCAATAAAGATTAGCGGATCCTTCAAGTTTCTATATTTGGATGGATTCACTAGCATGTATCATCTTTTACTGTTAGCTTCTGTCTTCTCTGTGCTAATTTCCATTGAATGCTAGCAAGTTTACATTTTTCTTCTTCTCAGGTAGGGTATTTAGTTAAAAGTACATCCATGAAGGAAAGCCCTTCCAAATGGAGGAAATGAAAGATGTATTTAGAGAGAAGATGATAGCAAGGGACTACCAGGTGAGAAGCAGTGCTCCTTTTTTAGCTACTGTTTCTAAATTTTCCAAAGACTGTCTCCAGAAGCTGCTGGAGTATTTGTTGGACTGGACTGGATCAATTTCAAATTAAGACATTGATGAAATCATGGGAGACCAAGAGATGGAACCGTACCCACCTTTTAAAACACTTCTCTTGCTTCTTTGGGTGGGAAGGGCTTTCAGCCATGTTCTCTGTCCACTGGCAGACACACCATGTAGACTGAGCTTGTTCCTCCTGGCAGGATTGCCTTTGTGGGCAAGCTCCATCCCATGAAATAGCTGGCACCCAGACTTTGAATGCAGAGATCTGCAGCTCTGAGTGACCTTCCAAATCAAGAACTGCATGCCACTAACACCTTCTTATTACTCAGAAGACTTCCTGTAGCTGACTGAATATAAACTCATTTGCTTTAGGAAACTTCATATAGGGATTGTGTTACATCATTGTATTACTCAGACCATATAGGTAATCATAGAATCATAGTATCATAGAACGGTCTGGGTTGGAAGGGACCTCAAAGATCATCTAGTTCCACCCCCCCTGCCATGGGCAGGGACACCTCCCACTAGAGCAGGTTGCTCAAGGCCCCATCCAGCCTGGCCTTGAACACCTCCAGGGATGGGGCATCCACAACTTCCCTGGGCAACCTGTTCCAGTGCCTCACCACCCTCATAGTAAAAAATTTCTTCCTGAGATCTAATCTGAATCTTTTTTCTTCCAATTTAAAACCGGTTCCCCTTGTCCTATCATTACCCTTCCTGGCAAAGAGTCCCTCCCCAGCTCACTAATTCAAAATCTTTATTTAATCTTTTTTAATGCAAATGCAACATTAGTGATGGATCAAATTCTTCCTTTCTAAAGGGGTTGCCCCTGTCTTTGCAGCCTACAGGAAGGACACTGCTGGTGTGGGGCCCAGTTCAGCTCCTGCATCACGTCCCTTGGGTGGGGATTTGTGGGGGGTCACCCCAGCCCACACACTGCTCACGGAACCCAGCTGCGGGGGATGCTGCCGGGAGCCCCAGCCTGGCGCAGGGCCCTGTCCCTCCTTTTGCTACCAGGTTTCCTCCTTCCTTCCTTCCCTTCCTCCTTCTTTCTTCCTTCCCCTCTCCTTGAGGTCTCACAGCAAGTGAGCTGCTGGGATGGGTGAAATCCTGGAAGGAGACGCCCTCTGCAGCTCACTCCCGGTTTTACTGGGCATCTGCAAGGGAGATGGCTAAATCTCTGTATTTTAAAATTTTTTTTTGAAACAGTTGCCACAGGAGTCCTGGAAAAAGAAAACATATCTTGCTACATTTGGGCGAAACCGGGTTTTCCTGATGCTCTTTGCCTTTGGGAGGCACACGGAGGAACCTTGGTTGGACCGCCTGGGTGGGATGTCCCCATCCCACAGTACAGCCGAGGTGTCGCGGTGCCGTGACCCGCAGCAGTGTTCAGGCTTTGGGTTTATGTCAGAAACTTGAGACTAAACATCTTCTTATGCAAAGTCTTCTCTTAAAATGAATGCTCCTGTCAAGTGACACATATCCATTCTCATTTGATGATGCCAGAGAAACCTGCAGGGTGTTTATTAATTTTCACAACGCTGGAGGCTGGAACTGGGAACTAGATCTTTGTTTTAATTTTGACGTGTTCTCATGTGGCAAGCGACTTCCCATAACTATGACACCTTCATATTTTTTCCCTTATTTTCTTGCTGATTACTAGGACCAAGAGGCTTAAGTATAGGCCTCTGGTTTTCCGAAACAGAGTATGATAACTCTAATTCAATTTCATCATTACTCTCAAAAACTTTTCTTTTTCACCTTGGTTTTTCTCTAAATCAGCCAGTATCATCAACTTAGACTAAATAAGCTCCAGTGGGCAGGGTGTGGAGAAATGAGCCAAAATGAATCATTTCCTACATAAGCAACTTTTGGTGTCTAGACGTTCGGGACCTCATCTAAAGCCCATCTCTGTCAGCTGGTTATTCTCCAGTGTTTTCAGAATTGTTGTTGAATTCTTTCATCATGTGTGCTTGCTTGTTCTGTGGGGTTTTTTTTTGATGAATTTCATGGGAAAAAAAGAACTTTTCCTATTTTTCAGTTTTATAATCAAATTCTGGACACCATTCTAATGCTTAATACTTGTAGGTTTGATAGAAGGCTCTGTAATCATGGCTACAATCTCATTTAATTCTGTGAGCAGACAGGTGGGTAAGTTCCATCTATGATGATATACCTTGATAGCATCCTCTGAACAGCTCTCAGTGACATAGATCAGCCTGCTTCCCTGTCTTCTATGACCTTGGTATCAGTCAGCTGTTTAACTGAACGTTTATAACGTATACGAAAAGTGTTACAGAAATATGGATTTTACACAAAATGGTATTTTAGGTGTTCAAGACCAGGCTGGATGGGGCTTTGAGCAACTGGCTCCAGTGGGAGGTGTCCCTACCCATGGCAGGGGGTGGGAACTCAATGATCTTTAAGGTCCCTTCCAACCCAAACCAGTCTGTGATTCTATGGTTCAGGTTTGGCCTCCATACGCTCAAATGATTGAAAGAGAAGCAGAAGGGAGTCAGCAGAGGATCCTTTGATCACACTCTTTTCTGCCTAACGTCTTCCCATCACTAAACATCTCCAGAAGGTATTATTTTGATGTGGAACTGGGACAGAAAGCAAGCCATTCATAACGTCCTGCGGGGCTACTGTACTGCAGGGCTGGCAACAACTGCTAATTACATAGGGGAGGTTATGATCACTTTGTAAATAATGTAGCAGATTGAGATAGCATTTATAAATTGGTTTTGTTTTAAGTAGATAAAAACACAGGAGGTTATCCCAGAGCAATTTGCTCCATGCAAGAAAGGATTAAATGTACATTTGCAATAATGGAGATTAATATGTCCCACAGGAAATCAGTCCTATCGGAGACACACAGATGAACCAGGAAGCCAAAATGATAGAACTGCAGATGTTGCTGTATTTGGCTGGTGTCAAGAACCACTCTGTCCCATCATCTTACCACTGGCATCAGCTTTGGGACTGAAGTAAGTAAATAGTGGGCACCTGTATGAGAGGATGGAAAGGTGTTTGCTTATGGCCATATTGTTATGAAGGTTATTTTTTATTTAAGATTTCCACAGCTGCATTTTTTGCAACTAGATTGTATCACTAAATCTGTTACGTGAAGATGAGTGAATAGTAAAGTTATTACTTTAGTAACAAAACATAGTTGCAAATCTACCTTCTTATTATTAGAGTGAATTTGGTACAGTAATTCTTCAGTCTTGAATGCAATGGGGGCAGGAGAAATGGTTATTTTTAGATAACTCATAAAATGTAAAGATCTCTGGAACCTTTCAGAGCAACATAATAAATTCAAGGCCACATCTCTGATCACAGATCACTCTTACAATTGTTCAGAAAGTTGTATGAAAGATGTAGGAAATTAACATTTATTTTTTCTTTAATTAGAACAAAACCCTTATTTATACTCAGAATGTAGAGTCAGCAAGCAAGCCTAAAATCTTTTGCTGGACTAAATGACTAAAATCTTTTCCACCACCACATTAGGATGATTCTAATTGGGGAAGCTGGGCAGATTATGAACGAGTGTGATTTGTGAAGGTAAAATGCCAAAGAAACCTTGGTTAAATTTTGAGGCCGGGAGAGCAATGGCAGCACATCCAGGTTCCAGCCCCTGCAGAGAGCGTTATATTTCTGATTAATTCAAATGCTCCTGCTAATGCATTTGTGGTTAAATAATCTGAAAATGGTCAAAGTTCAGTGGTTGTTACGAGCCTCTGTGGCCTGACTTGGCTCACGCCTCTGAGCTACGGTGTTTTTGTCTCAATGCTGGTCCCAGCAGCTCTCGGCAAGGGCAGCACAAAAGCAGAATTCTGCTGGGGCTGGGCTGCTGCACCAAAAGCAGAGCCGCCAGGGGAGCGGAGCGTGGCCGCTGTGGCTGCTGCTGAGGATCTCTTGCAACAGCCAGGATCCTGAGGATTTTGACAGATTTAGTTTCTACTAGCCAGTAACCCCAGGGCTCTTGATTACCTGCAGTGCGTGTAAGGATCTTTGAACATAATGATTAATTACAAAGGAAGAAAATAAACTTAGAAAAAATGTGTGAATTCTCCCTTCGGGAATGTAAAATAGAGGTTGGAATAGCAACTAATCAGAGACCCTTTCTGCTCCTTGTGATACCACAAAATAGACAGAATTAAAGCCTAGAGAGATATCGAGGTGCTGGAGCGAGTGCAGAGGAGGGCAACGAAGCTGGTGAGGGGGCTGGAAAACAAATCGTATGAGGAGCGGCTGAGGGAGTTGGGACTGTTTAGTATGAGGAGGAGGAGGCTGAGGGGAGACCTCATCACTCTCTACAACTACCTGAAAGGACACTGTAGAGAGGTTGGTGATGGTCTCTTCTCACGGGTAATTAGTGACAGAACGAGAGGGAACGGCTTCAAGCTCCAACAGGGTAGGTTTAGACTGAACATTAGGAAAGAATTTTTCACCGAAAGAGTGGTCGGGCATTGGAACAGGCTGCCCAGGGAGGGGGTGGAGTCACCATCCCTGGCTGTGTTTAAGGGCCGTTTAGATGCAGTGCTAAGGGACATGGTGTAGGGGAGGACTTTGTAGAGTAGGGTAGATGGTTGGACTCGATGATCCCAAGGGTCTCTTCCAACCTAGACGATTCTATGATTCTATGATTCTATGATTCTATGTTATTTGTCTATGGACATCAAACTCCAACACTTTATTACAATTGGGGAAAGATGACTACCATCTTCCCTCTTCTCTTCTGCTTTTTCTTTTTCACTAGCAGCTTCACCTATTCACTCACAAAGAATAACTGCCTTTGTAATTTTATGCTGTGTTTCTGTCCAGTGCCTCTTTCTCTTCACGTGGTGACCGTGTCTGCGATAGAGCAGAAGACCTCTGGAAGATGAGCTCCCTGGTCAGCACCTCACACCTCCAGCTGGCCACCTTTGCTCTGGGGACGGTAGGCTGGATCCTGTGCACCGTTTCAATGGGAATCGTGGAATGGAGAGTGTGGTACGTGGACAACACCACCATCATCTCCTCTGGCATTGCCTGGGTGGGGATTTGGAAAGTCTGCTTCATCAGTTACCTTCACGTCTCGCCTGGCTATAAGGAACAGTTCTGCCATAAATTCAGTGGCTATGACTCCTCCATCCCCCGTGAAATTTATGCTGCTCAAGGTCTCCTGTTAATTGCCATGTTTGTGGGCTTGCTGGGACTGATTGCCACAGTACTTGCTCTGAGAAACGTTTGTATGGGCATCACTCACAAAAGTCTCATTACCCGTTTCTTCCTGGTGGGTGGCTGCTCCTACGTATTTGCTGGTCTGTGCATCCTGATTCCCGTGAGCTGGAATTTCTATTCTGTAACGCACAATCAGACCATCGCTTTTCCTCCTTCTTCCTACATGCCCTCCAGCCCAGTGGCGCAGGAAGCTGGTACTGCCATTCCCATTGGGATCGTAGCTGTCATCCTCCTGATGCTAAGCGGGACTTTTTCTCTCTCGTACAGATTATCGGTGCCCACAAACACTACCACAACATTCTGACAGGATAAATCCCCCCACGCTGTTCCAGAGCAAGAGCGTAGTCAAGACATAAGGACAGCAGCACAAGTGATTTCATAGTCAAGGAACTGCAGGATTTAGCTTTAGTCTTCAGTAGCCACACTATTTTGTTACATGAACCAGCTGAATTACCATCTTAATTGTCACATATGACCAGAGGTTCATCTTTGAGATAACTGCTGTTGAACAGCAACTGTGATTAAGATTTACTGGTTATCCTATTTTGTATATACAAGTTGTTGATTAATTTATTTTTTGTGTAAGATATTTACCATGTTAAAGAGCTGACTCTGAATTAACTGTCCTGATAGAAAAATGTGAAATGACATGTGTTAAATGTGAACTTGTTTCCTTGTTGGTACTAAACTATTTTGCCCATTATTTAATTACATCTGTAGCAAAGTACGTTCTGTGACAAGTCAAGACTTCTAATACCAATAACATGAGTGTCATCATGGATGTGTCAAATAAGTCTTCCCTGAATCGTCTTACAAAGGTCTTGCCAGTTTCTCCTCTTCCTCTAGGGCACATAAAGATCTGTGTTTTTAAAGCTTCTATTTTTCTTTCAAGCTATTTGCATTTTATGTTGCAACATGTTTGCCTGTGGGCAAGGTGTGCTCTTAGTTCCTCACTTAGGCAGAGCCAAAAAGTCTGCAAGGGTTTGCTTCTTCATCAGACACTTCACCAAATCCAAAGGTATTGCAAAAGACGGAAACAACTCCAAGTTATTACAAAACTGCTGCCAAAATCAGAACTCTCGGTAACCAGGAATATTGAGTACGACTTTCAGGGTATGATTAATCTGATGTAGACATCTCTATCTAAACTGGTCACTTCAGGCTCCATTTATAGTCAATATAGAGACAAAGACAGTCTTTTTTCCAAAATAGATGCCTAGAATGGCTGGAGATGACATGCTCCCAACAAACCTGTTTCTCTTAACCCACTTTGATGGCTGTAATAACTACTGTAGCTAACTCTGGCGTACACAACCAAACTTCACCTAACCTGAATGAAGTAACGTGAAATTAATCTGTCATTTAAGAGCTATTTCATATGTCAATACCATTAAAAAAAAAAAAAAAAAAAAAAAAAGAGAGAAAGAGAAAGAGAAATGTCCCAAACACTGCAATAAGGCCAATTTAAAAAAAAAAGTCCATTAAAAGGTTGGGAGAAATAAGTAAACAGTGTTGACAAACTGATGATCTCTTGAAATCAGGTGCTTCAAAAAGTTATTACACTCTTAAAGAAATGCTACAGGAATCTAAGTAATTTAGTTTTACTCTTTTGATTGCCCTCCATTTTAAAAATATTCATAGATTCAGAGAAAGAAGAAAAGGAAATATAACAAAAATGTAATAATTCTTGTACACTACAAGAAAAGGTAAAATGCCAGTAAACCAAGTCTTGTTGCTTGTGGCTGTTACTGTCCTAGCAGTCCAATTTTTCCTCCACATCTTCCACACTGTCACAACTTTGCTGTATCAACTGTCTAGGCAGAATCTCTCTATCACCTTCATTTCCCCTCTGGTCTTCCAGTCTCTTCTGAACCAGTCTATCTCACCATTGGTAATTTTTTCATCTGCTCTAAGGGTTTATCTTTTGACTGTTTACAATACTGTAAAGCACTTTCAAGTGGTGTTTCAATGAAGGCAAGTGATTTAATCGCTTGTTTATTCTATATTGTTTCAAGTTTTATTTCTACTATACACCCTTTACAATGCGGGTAGTTTTCATTTTTAAATGTGCAAGTCAATAGAACTGTTATCTCTTCCCACAGGGCCTACAATAATATTAGATTTTATCTTATTGTAGTTGTAAGGGGGAAAAAAGATCTATCCATGTGTTTATGCTAGCATTTCCCACACTAATAAACTACCAATATTCCCTGGCAAGGAATTTGAACTTTAACAGAAAATGCCTGATTCCTCAACTTTTTTTGAGTTCATGTAGGCACAGGAATGACAATAACCCCAGTTGCATTTGTTAGCTGTATTCACTAAGTGATTGGGTTCACGGAATCACGGAATTGTCAGAGTTGGAAGGGACCCCTAGAGATCATCTGGTCCAACTCCCCTGCTAAAGCAGGATTGCCTCGAGCACATTACTCAGGACTGCATCCAGATGGGTCTTGGAGATCTCCAGAGAAGGGGACTCCACAACCTCCCTGGGCAGCCTGTTCCAGGGCTCTGTCACCCTCACCGTAAAGAAGTTCTTCCTCATATTTGAATGGAACTTCCTATGTTCCAGCTTGAGCCCGTTGCCCCTTGTCCTATCGCTGGAAACCACTGAAAAGAGTCCAGCTCCAGCATCCTTCAATTCATCCTTTAGATACTTATAAACAAAATAAGGTCTCCCCTCAGTCTTCACTTGTCCAGGCTAAAGAGTCCCATCTCCTTGAGCCTTTCCTTGTAAGGGAGATGCCCCCATCCCTTAATCATCTTGGTTGCGTTACGCGGGACTCTCTCCAGTAGTTCCCTGTCCCTCTTGAACTGGGAAGCCCAGAACTGGATGCAGTATTCCAGTTGTGGCCTCACCAGTGCAGAGTAGAGGGGGAGAATGACCTCCCTCGACCTACTGGCCACACTTTCCTATGCAGCCCAGGATTCCATTGGCCCTCTTGGTGACAAGGGCACATTGCTGGCTCATGGAAAGTGTGCTATCTATCAGAACTCCCAGATCTTTCTCCTCAGTAGTGCTCCCCAGGACATCCATCCCTAACCTGTATTGGTGCCTGGGGTTCTTCCTCCCCAGGTGAAGGACCCTACATTTGTCCTTGTTGAACCTCATTAGGTTCTCTGCCCAGCTCTCCAGCCTGATTAGGTCGTGCTGGATGGTGTCACAGCCCTCTGGGGTGTCAGCCAGCCCTCCAAATTTGGTATCATCAGCAAACTTGCTGTTCTATTTACTTTTATTCTTCTTGGTTAAAAGAAAAAGCAACAAACAACATCGGACACGAGCCAAATTTCCACGTTGCTGCCACAGCAGGAATTCTCTTCATTTGTTCTGATGTGTGGCTAGGAAACACTGGTGGTGTGTCAGACGTGGGCTAGATGGGGAGTGAATTCCCCAGCTAAACACTGGAATTCCCCAGCTAAACACTCCTTACCTAAGGAGATGGTGTGGGGTTTTAAAATTACATTTTGTTAAAAATAATTTGAGACAAATAGTGCCATGAACACCACAGGTATGAGTGAAACTATCTCAGGAGAGAGGAGTGATGTAGATGGGGCTCTTGGGGTCCTTTCCCACTGTACTTCCTAGGTCTCTAATACAGGAGTCTATCAACAGTTATATGGTCCAGATTATATGCTGATATATGATAAAATACAGTCTATGGTCAAATACCAGGCTATATTAAAATTCTCAATCCTTCCCTTAAGAAAAATAGAGGAAAAAAACCCACCTAAGCTCAAAACAAGGGAGAGGCAAAACTTCCATTGATTTTAATGTGATTGAGCCTGTCTAATCTTTATCCCTTAAGGCTGTGTGATTCATTAAATTTTCATGAATGTTTGTGTTCATTAAGATTTTGGTATTGGAGGAAAGTAATGCTCCTGTGTTTTCACTTCGCCAGCGAGGAGGCATAGTTTCTTTGCGTGTATTTTCATGACACGTTTGTTTGAGAATTTGAGAAGGTAAGTTACCTTTCAGTAGGTCAGTTTGTCCCCATTTCGGTTGTGCTGGTACAGCTATTTTTTATGGTTGTCTGCAGAGTCAGGCAGCTGAAATGATTTTGATTTAAAACTGGAAAAATGCAAAACTTTTTTGGAAGGCTATTTTTAACCCGGATTGCTTTAGGGAGCTATTCTATAGCCTGGCCCCACAATCATTTGTGGTCGCACAACTGAGGCCAGGCAGTGAGCTGTAGTGCAAAGACAGGAGTGAGTGGTCGGGGCCTTGAGGTTGAGAGATAAAGGGCAAGAACCTCTTAACAGATTTCACCACTGAGCAGATCCTATCGATCACGCAGCCCCAACTCCAGCTTCTGTACAGACTGGGACCTGCTGCCTCCCCAGTGACAGCACCACGCGCCTTGTGGGCTCCACCCTGTCTAGGAATGTCTCCACGCTGGCCTCAGTCTACACATAAACCAGTCTCGCTTTATTTTCTCTCAGTTGACAATAAACAAGTACCTTGTGATTCACTCACATGTCTGGATTCTCTGGGGAGGTGGAGGGGAATGATCTGAACACCGAGCCTCCCTTCGAGTTCTGCTGGGTATGAAGGCACAATGCTAAGGCGCCCATCTTTGACCTCCATAGCACACTCCTTGGCATTTATCTACCACGGGATGCGTTTTGCTAACCTTATGTATGCATACCATCTCCTTCACCTGTCCATTCATGGCCGCAGACCAAAATATGTATGAATATATGTTCCATATGCCTCCCAAAGAGGGATGCTCAAATAGTGGATGGAGCTAGAAGGCACCTAGTAGGAAAACAGGCTGGTACCACAAAGCCTACTGAGATTTTCTCCCCAGCTGAATTTTTGATTCTGATCAACATAATTTGCGTTCAGGCAAAGGAAGAGCGAGGAACTGGAGACACTGTACTGAAGAGCAGGTCATCAAATTAGCTGGTTTAAGTCAGTAAACAAAATTTTTGTTCAAGTCAGCAGTTTTACATGAAGACAACCTTAATTGCCAACTGTGAGTTCTTTAGCTGATTAAAAACAACGCTAGTCTCAGAAAGAAATGTCTTTGCTGTCACATGGCTTATGGTATATTACAATTATGAGAGGGAGGGTGTTTTTCAGGAGAGAGCTATTTTTAGAGCGTGGACCGTTTTCCCTTAGAATTGAAAAACTGAAATGTCACAGGCAATTTCCTGCTCTTTAGGCCATTAAAATACTTCAGGACAAAGAGTTTTTGCTTAAAAATGTGAGTCTGGCTGGCATAGTGTTTAACAGCAAATTGTTTTCTTAAAATAGGAAACCAATGTACATTAAATTAAAGGTTCCCAGAAGAGACATGTTCTCTGTGAAAATATATCTTTCTCAAAACTGAACTGGGATTCCTTTCATTCTTGCCAACATCTGTATTGTCAGATCCAGTATTGGCTCATAAAAACATTTTTTTCAACCGATATATTCCCTTTCCACTACTCAAATAATTTACTCTATTTCCCTTGCTTGAGAGAGGTGAGATTGCCCAATAATTAGGATGGTGGTTTGGAGTGTATTTCCTCTCAATTATTGTGTCAAAACCAACTATGCACCAGTTAAGAAAATGTAAGTGAATCTCATCTCACAATTATAAAGCTGATAAATTCCGGCTCATGATTGGGAATAGGGTACATTACGCGCTGTTAAGATCCAATTCACAGAAAGTCACGTCGCCTCCTTTCTCCTGAGACATCAGTGGAAAAAAACCAATGGTGAGGTGAATTCCTAGCATGATATTTTGAAGAGGCACATACATTCTGACTGCCCAAGGTTACTGCAGGTGCGGGCGGATTTTCAGCAGCTGAATGTGCGGGCCCGTTATGGAATAAATTGGTACATGTGAAAAAAATAGATTGTGCTTTGAATTAACATTACCAAAATATTAGCAGATACAGAGATCAGCTGATGAGAACAATTTATACCTGCCCACCCAGCCTGCCCCACATAGCCTCAGGAAAGACATTGCAAGTAGGAGAGAAAGCGTATGAGAAACTGAAAACTAGAGGCATCGCACCCACTACACAGGTATAGTGTATCGCAGCTCCTGGCTGACTGAAACTGAGGGGTAAAAAAAAACCTTGTAAAACAGAAGTGCTTAAAACCCCTGAAGGCTATGGAATTAGAAATGAAGCATTCACAGCTTGGGGAAGAGATTGGAAATATCAGCGCTATTGCTGAATAGCAATTTGATGGTATGGCAATAAAACTGTTTAATACAGAGATGTTTCATCTATCTCTAAAATAACTACATAATATCCAGTAGCTAGCCATGGCCAAAAAACTAGGGCTAGATCTTGGGGTGAATTTGAAATTACTTAAAGCCAAATTTCTAATGATTTATCCATGCAAAGATGTGGTCACCCACCTAGTGGGCTTCCAGAAGTCCTTCCGAAAAGCTTAAATTGTCCTTAAGCGACT